CCCTGTGGGACCCTCGGGATGGGGGACACACTGTGGGAACCCCTGTGGGACCCTCGGGATGGGGGACACACTGCAGAAACCCCTGTGGAACCCTCGGGATGGGGGACACACTGCAGAAACCCCTGTGGAACCCTCGGGATGGGGGACACACTGTGGGAACCCCTGTGGGACCCTCAGGATGGGGGACACACTGCACACCTCACAGCAGGGTAGGATGGGGGTCCCGGGGGTGACTGTACCCCATAGTTGGGTGGGATGGGGGTCTCAGGGGTGGCTGTGCTCCACGGCAATGCCATGGTGGGACTCTGCTCCCTTGTCCCCTGCAGGCCCCACAGGCAGTGGAGGGGCAGGGAAGTGGGATGCTGCCCCTCCACCTCCATCCACGGGGCTGGGCCGGGGCTGGATCCCCCCCATGGGGCTGGGGTGGGGCTGAGCCCCCCATTCATGAGGCTGGGGTGGGGCTGGATGCCCTACATGTGGCTGAGGTGGGGCTGGCTCCCCCCATCTGTGGGGCTGGTATGGGGCTGGATCCCCTCCATGGGGCTGAGACACCCAATCTCCAGGGCTGAGGGCCAGGACTCCCCTCAGGCCCCACGTCACTCCCCCCCTGAACCCCCAAATCCATCCCCCAGGCCCCCCACCCCCTCCCCTTCCCTGGGCTCCCCCTGCCCACTCTCCCGGCTCACTCTGGGGGGTTCCCCTAGACCCCGGTTTGGGGGGACACAGGAACTGGGGTCTGGCCCCCCGGCCCGTGGGGGTTGAACAGTTTATTGAGCCCCGGCCGACCCGGATCCCTTCAACCAGCCAGAGCAGAGAACCGAATAAACCCGGAGGAGGCGAAAAATCCGTGTCCGGAGTCGTCAGTGGGACACGAATCCTCATGGATGGGGGGAAGCAGGAGAGGGGCCGCAGGGGTGCACTGAGGGTCAGGGGAGCTTTCCCGGTGTTCCCAAAATCATGGCTGCTGTCCCAAATCATCCCTGGTGTCCCAAACCACCCCCCACATTCCCAGATCCCTGAGCCCAGCACGGGGACAAGTTCCCAAACCACTCGCCCCTGGATTTAGGGATGGGGAGGTGGGAGAGGAGGAGGAGGAAGAGGAAGAGGAGGAGGAGGGAGGATCCAGTCAGCATTTGGAAACCCTTGGAAAACAATTTAAGGGAAAACCCAGGAATCTGGGGGCGGCCAGACCAACTTCACACAGCTCCGGGAGCTGCGGGCAGGGACAAACGACACAGAAGAGGGAAAACATTGGGAATTATCCCAGAGCGGGGTGGGATGGCTGGATGAGCCCCCCCCAAGCCTGGGTTTGGGGGATTCAAGGCACTTGGAGTGGGGCCGGTGGGGCCTGGCCAGATCCTGGGGGGCATCGATGGGGGAGGGGGGTTCCCACACCCCGGGGTCACCTCCCCTGGGGTCCCCTCTGGGTGCCCCCCGGAACCTCCCGGGGTCCTGCTGCTGCTCTGATGGGTTTGGGGTTTTCTGGGGGCTTTGAATTCTCATTCCAATTTCACGTCAATGTTTCCATTTAATTTGATTTCACTTCCCAAGTTCAAATTCCATTTCAATTTCCAATTTTCATTTTAATGTCTAATTCTAATTTTAGTTTCAATTCCAATTGTAATTTTAATTCCAATTTTACTTTCCATTCGAATTCCAATTTTAATTCCAATTCCAACTTTAGTTCCAATTTTAATTCCAATTTGTCAACTTTCACTCCAATTCCAACTTTTATTCCACCTCCAATCCCAATCCCGCTGTGAATTCCCCGCTGCCCCGGGCGGCCCCGTCGTTGCCCCCGTGCCGGGGGAGCCGTTTCCACACGTGGTAAAACCAAAACATACAAAAATAACCCAAAAGTCGTTAAAATCCCAGGAAAACCCACGAGACGAGCCCCGAGTGCCGGGGAGGGTGTGGCTTTCCTGAGCCCCATCCCTGGGCGCCGGGATGGGGTTTCCCGTGGCGGGCGCGGCCTGGGCGCGGGCGCAGCCCTGAGCAGGTGCCGGCGAGGCCTAGAACTCGTCGTGCCGCACCAGCGCCTCCCCGAAGTCCGTGGCCTGGCTGCCCACGAACAGGTCCGACTTGTCCACGATCTCCTCCCGCGTCAGCTTCCCGTCCTGCAGGGAATGCCACATCCCGCTATTCCCCCCGCTCCTCCCACCCTGCTCCCGACATCCCACCGGAGCGCGGGCCCACCTTGTCCTGGTCGGACTCGTAGACGAGGTGCCGGGCCTCGGCCTCGGCGTGGTCGTAGTCCGAGGGCAGGATCCAATCCTTGGTCTCCTCCTTGTCCATCTTCCCATCCCGGTTCTTGTCTCGGAATTCCACAAACTGTTCCCGCTCCGTCTTCACCCACTCGGGCTCGTCAGCGTCGCCATCCTGGCTGTACATGTCACCTGTGGGGAGAGTGGGATCGGGATCCTCCCGACCACCATAGCCCCGCCCCCATCCCAAGGACTGACCCAAAGCCTTGAGCTCCCCGAGTCCATCCCCAAAATCCCAAAGCACCCTTTGGATCAGGATTTCACCCCAAAATCCTCAACAGTGGCACAAGGAGGGGGGCAGAAGTTGAGAAGTTGGAAGAGAGAACATTCCCAGAGGGGAAGGGATGGGAAGGATGTGCCAGCAGCGGCTGACACTCCGTGGGGAAATGGAAGGGACATGGAGGGGACATGCAGCACCGTGGCTCCGGCGTCTCACCGATGTACTCCTCCAGGTCGATGAAGCCGTCACCGTTCTTGTCAATGTCCTCCATGGTTTCCTGCATGGAGACACCGGCGTGAGCCAGGTCCAGAGTGATTCCCACCCCCTCACCAGAGCTTCCTGGGAACACTCCATTCCCAACGTCTCCGTGCCAGCCCCACCTGCACGACGATGTCCTTCATGTAGTCGTACTCCTCGGGGTGCAGGAAGGCCGTGAACTCCTCCTTGGTGGCCGCCAGGTCCCCGTCCTTGTCGGCCATCTTGAAGCGCCGCTCGTCCCGCACCATCATCTGTTTGTAGTTGAAGCCGTCGTCGGGGTCCGGATCGTCTGGGAAGGAGCAGAGGGAGCGCCCAGATCAGCTCAGGCAGGGGAGAGACCATGGTCACCACCAACCCAAGCCAACCCCAAGCCAACCCAAGCATAACCCAACTCAACCACAGCCTCAACATCCTCACCCTCAAACTCAACCCCAGCTCAACCTCCTCAGCGGGCCCTTCTCACCCTCAGCTTCCTCAGCACAACCTCAACCTCCTCCACCCAACCTCAACCCCCCACCTCAGCTCAACCTCCCAGTGCTTCGCCACCGCGGCCTCAAGGGCAGCTCCCGGCAGCCGCCGCGTCTCCTGCGCCCGTTCCCAGGAGGAGGAGGAGCTGCAGCAGCCCCGGGATCGCGGCATTCCCAGGGAGAGGCCCCAGTAGACAGGGCTCGGGGGGTTTGGCCGGCACGGTTGGAGGCTCAGCCGGAGCTATTTCGGGAGGGGAATGTGTAAGGGGATCTCGCTCGCTGCCGGGGCGGCAGCAGAGCCGGGAGGCATCGGCCGGGTGGGATGGTGGGGCCACTCGGCACAGCCCCGCCGGCAGCGGGAGAGGAGCTCTGGGACACGGGGCCGGCAGCCTATGGAGAACATGGATCCAGGAGGATGTGGCTGTGGCCACGCTCTGGTTAAGTTAAACCAGAGCCAGGCCTGGTCTAAAAAACAGGCTCCAAAAGGCTCCGTCCCTTTGTCCCTGCTCCGCTACCTGGGACAGAAGGCAGGGATTACAGAGCTCTGGATCAAGGGACTCCGGATTAAGAAGCTCTGGAGCAGCCCCAGAGCCATTAAATATCTAAAGATTTTGATTTTAAGGCACGTCTAGGGTAGAATGAAGCCAAAATTCCCTATTCTACTCCCAAGGTTTCGCCTCGGGAAGCGGCACAGCCCCAGGCAAGGAAACCCTCAGGACTGGGCCCATTCCTTATTTGCTGTCGGGCCAATTGATGAGTCTGATGGAGGGCAGGGGGCAGGTGGGTTAAAAATGGCCACACACATTCCCCCCCAGGACCCCCAAAGCCACTTTGTGTCTCGGTCCCTGGGCAGGGGGAGGTTTGGGGGAGCAGATGGAGAAGTTTCTCCTGGAATGAGTGTTCCTGGTTTCAGATCCCAGCCTAGGACTCAGGAGTTAACCAAAATAGGATGATGATGATGATGATGATGATGATGATGATGATGATGATGATGATGATTCAGATCCCACCCCAGGACTGAGGAGTTAACAAAAATGGGATGATGATGATGATATGATGATTATCATTCTATTTTGATTTTGAAGGGAGTTTCAAAGGAATTTTCACTCTCAGATGAAGCTCTTGGACATTCATCACTTGGTATTCCCTGCTTCCCGGAATTCCCCCAGCAGAGCCCCGCACCGCTCTGTGACACCTCTGGGGGCCACCTGGTGACTCATCCCCATGTTTAATT